TATAACGACCCTGTGAAGGAGTCCCAATTCACATCCATAAAAGATAACGTTATTTTACTCTTGCTATAACGACCGTAAAAAAGGTCAACTCCTAATATAACGACCCTCTCTGAATTTGAACACCGCTCTTTTCTAACTTCCTATTGGAAAGTGGGGTTGAATGGTTGACCTTGAACAAGCACACATATGTTAAGTCCTCTTAACATGTAACTTCAACAAATTAATGCACATCAAAAAATTAATGTCTTCGTCTAATGAAGCCTCGTTTATGTTCCTCGGTTTACTCTTCTTTATAATACTGTAAATTATGTACATGAAAAAAAAATTCGTTATATATACCGCAAATTATGTACATCAAGAAATTAATTCATTAGAAACTAGATTTTATTTTGTCATACTATGTTTTTGAATCTGTACTTTAAAATAAAATTCTTAATTGTTAACAGTTGTAATTCAATTGTTAAAATGTCATTATGTTTCATTAATGTATGCATCCTATCCTTTTTTGGTTTATAACATGTATACCACAAATAGTATATGCATGCATTATGACGTTTAAAGCCATTATGTGACCGATTTTCAATTGCTCATTTTGATATAGCGACCATTTGATATAACGACCAGATTGGGGCAGTCCCGATGGGGTCGTTATAACGCAAGTCAACTGTATATATATATATACCCGCTATAGTGAACATGGTTTATAGTGAACTCCCGGATATAGTGAACCAAAAAAGTGAGGAAGTTGGATATAATGAACTTTTTTCCGTCTTCGACTGATTTTTTTCTTTATTTTTTTGATATTTTCAGGGCATATAAACTATCCAAATCTGAAGTTTGTAACATATGGAAAATAGGCAATTAATAATTTCTGCTCATGAAAAAAATTTAGATGGCAGAATAAGTTGAGAAAAGCAGATCACAAGGATGATGAAGAAGCATTACTGAAGTGGTTCACCATTCGAAAAAGCAGCAATTTTTCTGTATCTGGACAAATGTGGATGAATTTGCTAAATGTTTCATGAGCTCGAATGGCTGGTTAGACAGGTTTAAAAAACGGAATAACAGAAATTCAGGAAAAATTATCTGAGAGTCGGGAAGTGTTTCCATAACTGATGTTGAGGATTGCTCATCAGCTAAAGATTACTAATTTTTTTTGTACGCAAGACGAAGGGTAATGAAAAATAACACATTTTTTGCTACTACATAATATTTTTCAGTCATTTATTTGAATAATGTGCAATGAAAGGGAGGAGTTTGGGAACCATTAGGTAAATTATCTGCGTAACGGATATAGTGAACACCCGGTTATAGTGAACCGAAATTTCGGTCCCTTGAAGGTTCACTATTGCGGGGTTTGACTGTATATAATTAGTCCGAACCTCATGAAATGGCAATTAAAAATTCGATCTTCATAGTTCGAATTGTTTCAAAAATAAAATTAAATTAATAAAGGAAATTGTTTGTTTACCTGTAAATTAAGAATCTCTCATTTAACTGTATTTTCTTAATACTATTTCACTTTTTTTTCTTAATTATGGGATATTTGAAATCAAGACTTTTATCATCGGTCAGAAATAGTGACGACGTATATTTCCTCTGCGGGAGAATGAGTAAGGGATGATTTGGTAACAGTTTTCACCAAGGAAATGTTAAAGCTTGCTTAAAATGGAGACAGTTTCACAGAAAGTACTTCAATTTTTTTTCTTAGAATTTCTTTAGACTCTAAAAAATTATCTATTTTTATATTGTAAATTTAATTACACAAATATTGAATGAAAAATGTTAATCTTAAAAGGGGCTGTATCCCCATTAATAAAATGTGGGGGGGGCTTGAGCCTCCTCTGCTCCCCCACACGCGTTACTGCGGTCCCTGTGAAGGAACATGGGGTACTGGTGGAGAATATTAAAATTTTACAACATACACTGCTCAGTGGTACAGAATTGAAATGTTTGAAAACAATTATCTCTAACAAAGAATTTTTTCACGAAAGTTTTCCCTGAACACTGCTAAGTGTTTCCTCGTTAGTAACACTGAATCACTCTGATGGGGAGCTTTTTATGGGAGTTAACTGCAAATTATGTTCACTAATAATGTTTTGCTTGTGTTTAATAATAATGTTCTGCTTGCGTTAACTAATAATGTTCTGGTTACACCTTGTTCTGTTTTACTAAAAAGAGAAATTGATTTTTGTCAGATATCTGAAACTGAAAACATGTTCCTTGCCCAAGAAAGAAATCCCCCTCGCTTTGGAGATATCCCTGAAACTACATCAACTGTACTTTGGATACAAGATTTACTCTCAAAAATCACACATCCAATGGACAAAATAATGGACAGTAAAGATCTATCACATAACGAAATGGAGGTATGTGAATGTTATACTTAGAGTTTTTTAATAAAAAATAATAAAAACATGTTAAAAGTTTTCTACGTTTAGTCTTGACATAATTTTTAAATGTTTCTTTTTTATAAACCAAATACAATTATTGTAAAATCTAGTTCATAATATTTATTTTAAGGTTTTGAAGGGGAGTAAAATGCATAAAAAATAAATCAAATTTTTTGCATGAAATAAAACGAAAAGAAGGAAGCAAATTTTTGATAAAACAACCTTACACCAACCTTTTCTACTAGCTTAGATAAAAAAATTATATATTAAAATTTATTATCTTTGGCAAATCATAACACGGAATCATTCAGAAAAGAAACCTTAAGGCCTGGTTTCTTAGGACAGGACGCCGTCAGCTGGAAATCAGCGCTAACCTCTGATTGGTCCATTTGTGAGTTTGATAGTATACGTCATCGAACGCTCATCTTGAACTACAATTGCCGTTCAACTCAACTGCAGTTAGATTACAACGTGACGTTAACCACAGAAGCAATGGCGGACAACATCCAACAGCACATTGAAATCAGCCACGATTTTGATTTTGACATTAAACATAGCTTCTTCATTAAACATAGCACTCTTCATTTAGCTCAGCTATAATGTGTTTTTTCTTGGACAAAGTCATTATTTGTTCTCAAAAACACTGGTCGACAATAACAAAATCAATACAAATTCAAAATAAATATTTGTTTACGTTATTAACGCATGCGCAATGAGAGATAATGTCTGCGTTGGACCGACTGCTCACGCTGAGCTAACAAAAAAGTATTTTTTTGGCGTCAGCTCTACGTCAACTTTCCGCTGACGCTCAGATAAGGCGCTAGTTCTAAGAAACCAGGCCTTGAGCTGACAAACCAGTATTTTGTTGGCGTCAGCGGGACGTTGACGTCCCGCTGACGCCCAGATAAGGCGCTTGTCCTAAGAAACCAGACCTTAAGTGGTCAAAGCATTTATTTCCACATTGCAACAAATAACCTTAAGGAAATCTTGATTCAGGTCTCCGAACAAAGCCTTTTTCTCTAGATAAAAACATTACTGATGGTGGTATTTCTTTAGGTAACCAAGAAAATTATTATTCTAAGGAGCTAAATCAGATCTATATGGAGGATGCTCAAGAATTCCCCACTTGATTTAAAAGAGTGGTGAGCATTGGTATAAGCACTTGATTGCCTCTGGGTGAAATCCTCGATTAAATGTCCCTGAAAAAAGAGATGTGAAATAATGTAATATTGGGCAAAGAAAAACACCCTATTAAATTAAAATAAAAAAAAACATTGAAACAATATTTATTCATAAAAATTTAAATTCATATTTTCATTAATGTAAGCAGAAATGTTTGTTTCGTAAAAATGTATTATTTCCTGTAAAAAAAATTTTTAACATTTTTTAATTTAAAATTTTATAATATTTCTTTGACAACCACATTCTATTCTTCCTAAAATATATTACATACAATAAGTATTTACATGATAAATTCAATTTCCTAATAAAAATAATGCTAGTAATTTAGTTTTAGTATGATACTGATTATGATGATTAGTATGACAAGTGGCACGTAGGAAGCATACGAGAGGCATTCTAACGCAGAAGTACAGGGATTCGCCACCTGTAATCTCTAATACTAGAGTTTTAGTGTACTACTTAGTCATGGATTGAATATAGTTTGTCTACAGTTGGAACTTCCCCTGCCACAAAGTCTGAGGCCGTCTGCAGCTTTGGAAAGAAGAATAGCGCATTTCAGGGAGGGTAGCTACTTTTCACTTTAGGGCTAACACAATAGAAAGAAGAAAGAGATTCCATTTTTTTTCACCGATCCCACTTGAAATAGTCATACCTCGTTACCATAGTCACTACCACGGGTCTAGACGAATGGCTAGGGGAGTTCTTACTTTAGACAAACTATACCTGGGGCTGTTCCTTCCTCTTTACATGCTACTGATTTGAAACCTTGCTGATTCTGAAGGCTGAATGACACTATACACTGAGGGAACAAGTGGTAAGTAAGAAGCATACAAGAGGCATTCCAAATTCCAACGCAAATGTATAGGAATTTATCACTTGTATGCCTCTCTCTTCCTCGGTGTGTGGTCTGTCATGCTGTATCTGATCTGCCTCAGGTAGCAAGTCAGTTGACATAGAAGTGTAGTTTGTCTACGGTAATAACTCCCCCCACCACAAAATCGGAGACTGTCATCTGCGATGGAAAAAAAAGAATAGCGCATTTCAGGGAGAGTAGCTACTAGAGGGCTAACACAATAGACAGAAGAAAAAGATTCCCTTTCTTTTGACGACTCGAGCCAAAACCTGCCCCAAACAATGGCTCTACTTGAAATAGTTATACCTCGTTATCATAGTCACAGCCACGGGTCTAGACGAATGGCTAGGGGAGTTCCTACTGTAGACAAACTCTGTGTACAAACCTCAGTAATAACAACATTTATAAAAATAAAAATAAATAAAATTGAAAGTCTGCACAAAAAAACTGAGAACTTTAAAAAAAATATATATCTTAGTTTTTTATTAGGCACAAAAGTTGTTTATTTATTTTTTAAAAAATGACCAGTTAATAATTTCTAAACAATAATTTATTTAAAACGGACGTTTCGTTCTTAATGTCATTTGCAGATTCACGAAAGATTTAAGAAAACTGAGCTTCTTTTGAGATCCTATCAACAAAGAAAATATGAATCTTGGAAAATCAGTGCAGCTGAAAAACTGAATAAATTTCTTCATTCGAATGTACTGAGAAAACTACATTGTGAGCCAGATACCTTAAAAGGAAGAAGTGAGCACTATTTTTTTTTTAAATTTTATTGCAAGTAAATAATGCAATAATTTATTCATTTTATTTTATAATCCTTATAGAAAAGTACGAAGAGGTGTTGCTTTACCAAATAAATTTTCCTCTTTATTTTGAAGAACTGTCGGTTGAAGCGAAATTTTTGGAGAATTATGGATATGATATTCCCAATTTCATTAGAAACGTCATTTTACAGGTAGGGATTCTTATTGAATTTTACCGTTCATACAACTTGTTTAAATACATCAATTGTACAGTACGGGAAAAAGTATTATATATTTTAAATATTTTTATATCATAAGACGCAATCTTTTTGCAATAAGATGCAATCATATAATGCATCTGAACTATTTTAGTTAACTCATCTATTAACTGCTTAGTTATTATTTTTTGGAGAGAAAGTTTACTTTTGCATGGTTTAAGTTGTTATACGTTGTCTTTTTTTTTTCGTTTAGAAAATCGATAAGATTGTCTTACAAGCATTTTAGCACAATAAAAGCTTGAGAATAATTGACGCTTATCTCAAGAAAGATGACGTTAGATTAAGACAGAGGTCGCCAAAGTGGTCTATATAGACCCCCAGGGGTCTATTTAACAAAGGGTCGAATGGGGGGCGATCCGAATCGGAAAATCACACATACTTCATTGAGTATGCAAAATATGTGAATTTTTTTATAATTGATTTAAAATCAGTTTCCTTATAAAACATAAATTAATAAACGTATCGGGTGAAACAAGAATTTACGTAGCAGCGCGCAGTGGCACGAACTCAGCACAGTTTATAAGTCAGATGCATATGTGCGCTTGTCCAAATGTCACGTGTGACGAGCATTGACGTTACAAACGCAAACGTCATGGACAGTTCAAGCTATCTCTGCAAACGGTAAACAGTGTTGAATATTTGCAGTGTCATTCATAAAACTTTTATAGTTTTGAATAATTAGTTTTTGTTTCGATAAAAACCATTCGTTTAGTTTAGATATCAATTTTAATTATCAATGCATGTGAAAAAAGAAGGTAAGCATTAATAATATGGATTAGTACAACCAGCGACAAAAGTATAGCACACTTTGTATTTTTTTACGAAAATTAAAATTGACCAATTTTTAACCCAATATAGCAAACTTTGCAAAAAACACCACACACACCCATTCTCTTTGAGTCAGAAGCAATAAATCTGTAGTTACTTTACTTATTCATAATTACTTATTATTTAATAAATATTAAGGTATTTAAATTTCAACATTAATATAGTTTTCATAAAACTATTGTTGCACAATGTACTATTACTTTAATAAATGTTTAAAATCATAAAAAACACAGTATCTAAAAAAGTTTTATTTTAATTAACAGAAAATTTCTTTTATGGGGGTCGATGGAGATTTCGAAAAATTATGTATGGGTCGATGATCAAAAAAGTTTGGTGACCCCTGGATTAAGATGACGTTACAAATTCATAAAATTTCCTTATTTAAAATCTCATTAATACAGAATAGAAATCAGATTAACAGTTTCTAAGATGCCCGTGGCAGAATCGTGGCGACACGGAGACATTGTCGCAGAACGTTACCGAGTTCTTACAGAAAGATTTTTCCTTTGGGAAGTTAAAAAAAAATTCCCCATAAATTTTCCAAAGTTTTATTTTTTCTTCAGAATTATATTCAAAAGATGTCTTTCTCGTGCATTGGAATGGAAAAAAATGCTTGTGGTTTTCCCAATCTCATATGAGAATAATAAAAAATAAAGAATAATGAAGTAAAATTTGGTTTTCGTTTCTGCACAAATTTTCGTTCTAATTTTTTTATGCAGTTATTACTATTGATTTCCACATTAGTTTTTAAAACCCGATAATTTTAATACGATATAATTTATTACAACAACTGAATCTCGAAATGAAAACACGCATGTAGTAACCCTTTTTTGAAGAGTCCGATTACCGTCATATTCGAGTAATTTAAAATCTGTTTTTTTTTTTTAATGTGATGATGATTTTTAAAATGTAAAAGAGGAAGTAATTCGTGTGTTTTCTCCCTACAAATTGCGAGAACATCACCCATAATATTAGAATAAAAATTATTACATATTTAATTAAAAAAATATTTTATCCGATCCAAATTTTTTTTTGAAGGTGACACTTTTATTACTTTAATTTAGTAACATGTATATTTGTTATTTTTAAAAGTATCTTTCAGAAAGATATTAGTATTAGAGAGATATGTCGCAGAATGCCCCCTCCCCCAGAAAAAAATATAATATTCAAAGTAACAGCTCATCACAACATGTGCTCTGTTTATAACTTGCAATTAATTCATATTCTAGCAAACGATATCTAGCAAACTTCACAACATGGCATTAATTACCATTTCAAGCAGCAGCTGTTCAAAACATGCTCTTTAATTCAAAAAATTGAGTGTTTTCAAAAGTTCACTTAACATATTCTTTATTAAGCCTCTTTCGAATTTTCATATCGTTTTTTTGTTTCAATACATCATAACTAATTCCTTGACTTTACATCTATGTGAATTTTCATTTAATAATATGAGTTTTCTTTAATCATTCTCTCATGAATTCAGGAACGCACTTTTTACCAGTATCGAAGCAAATTGAAAAACATTTTAGAGGATTTAAAGCACAGTGTCGCTGAGCTGGAAGATGAAGAGGTATTTTAATACAATTTAAAATATTTTAACATTTGTTATTTTCATACATTTTATGATAATTAACTAACTTTCGAAGCCTTGTTTTTTTCCCTCTCAGATACTTAATTTATTAGAACATGGTGGCTACAAACACAAGAGAAAAATTCGATTAATTTTATTTAATTGTCCTGATTTTTGTAATCATTGACAAAAATTTTATTATAAAAATTTTCAGTTATAACTCGTTTTTTTTACATAAAATATATTACAAAATACTTATTCCTGCTATTAGAAGTGTATTAATTTTAATAATTATCACAAGACCCTTTTTTCAAGAAAACATCTTGGACTTTAATTCACTTCGAACTGAAATTCATTCATTTTCCTTGACTTTTTGGTGGTTTTAATTAAATTCCGTGACATTTCCAGATTGATGACTGACTTTCCATTTTTCCTTATTCTGTGGTCATCCCGTAAAAGTACTAAATAAGCATTGAGTTTTACACTAAAGATTCAGTGGAATTATTCATGATTTTGTAATGAATCAATTTTCATTAATCAATAATTATTTGTTTGCTGTTTGTGGGGATAGTAATTATCGACAATGTTCATGAAAAGGTACTTCAACATAGAATCGAGTTATCATGTCATGGATACTAGGGAATTGTAATTGTATTTTTGTAGTTGTAGACACACTACAGTACTCCAGCACCAGAATTATAGTTGTGATAGAATTTAATGAACGGCTACCACTAGTTGATTCATTGCTGTTTTGTGAGAAACCGAGAGAGCTGTATTAAGATCACAGTATTTATGAGTGCTGGTCGTGAGAGCTGTATTAAGTTCACGGTCGTGGTTGTTGTTGTTGTTACACATCCCCCTGGAGAAGGAAAGCCTAGACCAGGTCCAGAAGGCCCCGTCGCGTCAGTTCCCCATATATCTGCAGAAAGTCCCGATCAACCAGCAGCTGCTTAAAAGAAACTCCAAGGCAAAAAAGAAGGTGATCAGGACTAGCAGGTTGTGAGCAGGAACAAGGTTGGAAAGTTTTCTCTCCTTTTTGAAACCTTAAACACTTAAGATGGCCACTACGAAATCTGGCCATGGCCGATACGGTCGAGGTCGCTCCTGTGTTGTCATTAGCAGTCAAGTGTTTACAGGCCGATGCTGTGTGTGATCGAGACAGAGTTTCTGTTCAAGTAAGCGTTTTCACATCACGTCCGGGTCACCAATGTGGGGAGAGTTGTTATCGTCTATGTCCACCTTCATCTATGAAAAGATACCCCATCATAGAATTGAGTTAACATGTCATAGATACTAGTGAATTGTAATTGTATTTTTGTAGTTGTAGACACACTACACTGTTTACTATATAAAGCATCGTTGCAAATTTTTCAATGATTTAATGAAGAACAAATCCATCATTATGATTATGGATGGAGCAGCAATTTGATACGGTTTTGTAACAACATGAAACAAAAATATTTATAATTTTGGAGTTAATTTGGGTAAATATTTTGCCAAGAAATTAAGATAGTTTTTTAATGTAGTAAGAATGAACAATGATAGAAAATGAACAAATAATCCTTAACTTCTCACTTCTGCAACAAAAAAAAAAGAAATCTGGGGCATTTCCCAGTCTAATCTAGTGCAACATTTTGGTGATTAGAAAACACCCTGTAAATATTTTATAAACTTTTTTCCTTCTCTTATTGCAGCTTTCTGTGATGGCTGTTCCTACATCTGATCTCATTAATCTGCTCGAACCTGGAATAAACATCTGCTGGGAATCGACAGAAATTCTTGAGTTTTTGAAGAATATTGAAAGAGTATTAAGCTATTTATTTTTAAATCTGTTAAGAGGAACATTACTTAAAAAAAATTTCAAAATATTGTTTTCTTCTTTTACTTACATTATTTAAGAAAATACACATTTTTGAAATTTTTTTTAATATTTATTAACCATAACGTGACGTAACTAACGATATTAATTAATATATATTTCTTAATATATATTAGTTACAACTTGTATAAATGTGACTCTGATACAGAATACATTATTGTGACTCTGAAAAGTAGGCCATGAACAGTTTAACCTGAAACAAAATTTGTGGCAAAATATTTTTTGGTAAACTTTTTACCTTCATACTTTTTCAGACTTAAGTTTGTCAAAGTTCTTTATTTCCAATGAGCTGCACAATCGGTCTTGCCGATGAGCAGACCTAGTGCGTTCTCCAGAGGTGGTATCCACTCTTTCAGGACCACCACAATGGGTGAGATACCGTTGGTCATGTTAATTTGGACGTCTAGTTTCTGCCATAGAGTTGATATAGTAGGTAGAGGAACCAAGTCCGCTTTATTCCTTCCGAAAAGACACGCCACAGATAGCAAGCAAAGAGTTACAATCACGTGATGGAAAGAGTGCAATACTTGGCGCAGTATCACAAATGTTGGCGCACTAAGTTTTTAAACAGCTTTATTTCGATATTACCGATGCGCAAATAATCGGAGCATTTGAAAGAGAGAAAAAAAATATTTTCGTTAATCATATTTCTTTAATATTATTAAATGGGTTTTTAAAACATGAGGAGTTTTTTTTCTCTTAACAAATAATTTTTAATTAAAGTACTGCCTTTATTTAAAAAAATTCAGTAGTTCTCGTCTGTACCCTTAACACTATTCCTTAAAATTTATTCATTATATAAAAATAAAAAACGATATTCTGCATCACTTATATTTATTACTATATTCAGAAATTTTTTTTTTAAATGTTTTTATTGCAAAGACCTTTTTTAAAAAAAAAATTACTAATATATATTGTAATAACTATTGTTATTTTTTTAAAAAAAAATAATAACTTCGATACAAAAATCAGGATTTTTTTTAAATCTACCAGGGCTTAAAATGTGAATTTGAAAATGTTGCCCTTCTTTTTTAATGAAACACAAGTTCGTTTAAAAAATTAATTTAATCTTTACGTTTTAAAAGTTTTATCACTGTTAGATAAAACAAATTGTAAAATTAAACAGATTGTCTGAAAAAAGTTCGATGCTTAGAAATAACGTTAATGTTGCAACACTTTTATCATTTTTATTTATGCTCACCAAGAGACTGCTCGAGAGGTAATATCAAATTTCGGGAAAAATAGCTTCGGGGAAAATAAAACCCGTTTTTAGTAGAACAGATTAGTTAGAAAACATATTTTTGATTAAATTTAATTACGTTTAGAATTTTATTTATATATTGAATACATTAAATTATTTATACAATAAAGATTATTTACATTATTAATTTAGAATTTTGACTTCTTTTTTTCCTGACACTTAAAATAGATATTTTCAAAAATAAACTGCTGTTGCATTTTAACTTAATACTCAACAATTTGTCTAAATATGAAATAAAATATTTATTCTAATATAAAAGTTTTCAGCTCCGAATAGAGAAAAATATAAGATTAAAAGCATTAAACTAATCAAAGAAAATAATAAAAGAGTTTAATTAGAAATTTTACTTTGTATTTCATGTACAATCTAATTCCATAAATTACTAGGAAGTTTAAATTGTACACACAAAGAGACTAGTAGAAAAGCTTTCGAAATTTAAACAAAAAATACTTAAATAAAAGAGAAAGCAATTAGAATTTTTACTTTGTACTAAATGTAGATTGAAACTAATGACGAACTTATAATTAAAATATCTTACTTTTATTTGTGATAGAAATTGCAATTTATGCAACTTTTTATGAGGTAAATTTATGCAACTATTATAGGTCAATGTATATTTAATAATTTTTATACAGAAAACCAGTATCTTAAAAAGTAGCAGTTAAAAATATTTTACTTTACAAATAAAAGAACCATAATCATTTTATGGACATTAAGAAAATTACAATGCCCATCCATAAAAAATGTAATTTTCTTAAAAATAGTAAGTGCATTTAAAACTATATCTTTTAGCCAGCTGCAAATTAAATATATACAATCTAGATAAAGGTAAAAACAGTTGAAATTTTACAAGAAAGGTTCACGATGCTAAATCTTTGCACCACAGCCAGCTGTTAGCCTTGGCCGTCTGAGCAGTTTATTCCATACCAATGCATAACATGCGCTAATTTACTGCACTAATTTACTCCTATACAACTTATCCACTTCTATGTTATGTTTTCTAAATTTGTTGCACTAAATCAAACTAATTCTACGCTTTAATATACTAGTAAAATAAAGTATTTCCAATAAAGCAACTATTTTTAAATAAAAAGAAGATAAACAAGTACTTAATGATTATATTAAATATACCTTAATTTATTTTCTAAATAGTACATAATTTGTATTCATTTTATGTATAGTAACAGAATTATATAATTTTATTAAAAATTAACACTAAAACTACTATACACTATTTTATATTTAAATACTAAAAATATTTCATAGAATTTAATTATTCATCAAACATATAAGAATATACAAATAATTTGGTTTTTAAGCATTCCTATGTAATTTAAAAAACACAACTTCTTATGTACCATATTTTTTATTTAAATATATATATTTAAAGGAAACATTTCAGAACAAGATAAATATTGGGTTTTAGTAATCAAGAGGTAAAGATATACAAAATCTTCAGAATATACAGAAATGATATCGACATTTAAAGAGAACTAAAACAAAACCGAAAGTTTACTCAACTGTTCCTTGGCGCTAAAGTATCTCGCCAAGGAAGCCAACAAAGCTTTGCAGCTATTTCAGCTAAAAATAGAATATATATTGAAATATACTTAAACATTATAAGTTTAAAGTTTAAGAAACAATAAAAACTTATGTTAAATGCAAAAAAAGTGAGCAAAAACGAGCGTAATTGATTATTAAAGCAAATAAAATATGATTATCAGAGCATGACTGAGTATCGGAAAATTTTTAAAATCAATTTTAAAATAAAAAAAATTTAAAAAAATGTCGCCCTTTCTCGTAAAAAGTTATCGGACAGTCCCTAGAAAACTTCTCCGTGCAGCAAAATGCTCAGGACTTTTGTACCATTCTTATTTCTGAATTAAAAAGACAGACAGTTAATTGCATCAGACGATCGCAATGCTAAACGAATGGACGGGAATCGAAGCGGTCTCAGTGAACGGCAAGTTTGGGCTACAGTCACGTGACTTTATCTTGTCCACGGGTCGGGGGTTATTCTACTCTCTCTACCCAGTATTTCAACTCTATGGTTTCTGCCACACTAGATGGCAGCACCGAGACTCTATTTGGATGCTAAAGTGCACTAGGAATTTAATTTTGCCGGAAATGCCAAGAGCCAATAAGGCACTCCAGGGATCTTTTACATGCCGCATAATCATACGACATGGCCGCTGAGGATTTTCTGCATCTCGAAAATCCGGTGTCTGGGCCGGGGATCGAACCCGCAGACTTGGGCTCAGAAGGCCGACGACAAAGCAACTGCGCCACCCAGCCACAAGTTTGTCAAAGTATTTCATAAAAAGTAGCCTGTTTGAAAAGTTTTTTTTTAAATCTGGAACTGCTACATATTATAATGAGATTTTATAATATTATTCATGAGATCCATAAATTTCAAAAAAAAAATTCTTTTAGAGAATTCTTAAAAATTTTGTGAAAATGCTTCTTACTAATTACAGCTTTAAAAAAACATTTATACGAATATTAATTGTTTCGAGAATTAACAATGAATTGTTTTTTTTTAAATAATATTAACTACATTTCTGAATCTAATACACTACTACTTAAAAATAGCACTTGTACACAAATTAACAATAAAAATTTACAAATTTGTACAGCATATTTTGTACAGATTTTCATTAATCTGTTTTTTTTTTTTTTTTTTTTTTTTTTTTTTTTTTTTTTTTTTTNTTTTTTTTTTTTTTTTTGAAAAAGAAAATAAATTATTTATTACATTTGTAGGGGGTGGATGTATTTCGAGGAGTCGTGAGTCAAGTTAAAAAGATAATAACTGAAATTAACAGCCGTATTAAGTTGCTATCTACTTGTGACCTACTGCAGTTCGAGAGTGTATTAGACAAGATCCCTACATGTGAAGTAAGTTTTTCTCATTTTAAATATTTCAATCGAGAAAATTTTCGTATTTTTATAAAAAATTTCATTATTGTTCATTAATAATGAACTAATAATAAAAGGAATACAACTTTCAAACTCTCTAATGACTGACCACTTTGTACACAATTTGAATATGAGAGAATTTAAATAAAAACTAAACGAAATTTCAAAAATAAGCATGTCAGCAAAAACGGTACTTTCTCAGGAGACACACTGCCCTGCTAACATGCTGGAGAAAGATTGAAATAAATTTGTCTCAATTTTCTATAAAAATGTCTACTTTTAAGCAATAACATAGGTATTCAATAAAATTGATTTGTATCTTTTTAAACCGGCAGATATACGTCCTACAGTAGAAAATAAATTCAATATTTGAAACCATAAATATAAAAAATCTCATTCCCGATTTTAGAATTATTTCAACACTGCGCAAAAGAATATGGATATCAAAGTTGGAAAAATGGTTCAAATATATAGTTCCTTTGAGTCACTTTTAAAGACCTTAGAGATGATCACATGTAAATCTACAACAGGAAAGTCAGAATACCTCACAGAGTACTATAGTGTATGCGAAAAGAAAATACTCCTTGCTTTGGTACAGGTAAATATGCTATTTTAACTATCTTTAGGGCAATTCCATCATTAATGTATCTCATATTTATAAACTTCAAATATATAAATCGGAGTTTTAAAAAAAATCAAGCAGCTCAAATAATTTTTGACAATGTCGCCGTGTCGCTGCGATTCTGCCATGGGGTTCTATGATATGGGTAACGGTTATAAGGAGGAAATGATCTTTAGATGTTCCATCTGCAATATGCGAAAGAAATGCATTAAAATCCGAATTTGTCACAAAATTCCCACAGATACGCTTGCTGGAAAGTTAAAACAATTGTACAATCAATCAATTGCTCAGAAAAGCTAGCGCTTTTTAATTATAATAGTACCTCCTAAGCAAAACATGCAACAATCAGGTTTTGATCAATGTACTTACAGAAAAAAATCTAACTAAAGATTCCTATTACATTGCTTATAGGTATTTCACAATAAATCTGTTTAAATTTTTTCTTTTTATGAATCATGCTTTAAATAACATTTTTAAAATTAAGAAGAAAAAAAATCAAAGATTGAGCAAATAAAGCAATATGAACTTTTAAGAATGAAGAAAAAACAAAATTTATTTATATTAAACTGAGTCATATTAATTACTGTCATAATTATCATACATTGTTTTTAATAACATTGACAAATAAGAATATTAAGATTAAGATTGTTAAATGGTTAAACTAAATGAAAGCCTAAAATTAGTGCAAATTCTGAAGTCTGAACTGCACAAATAAATAATTTTGACTTAAATACTTAATAAAATATTTCCTCAGTACTTTTGTTGTTAAAAAAGAATTTTTTTTGTTTAGAAAAGTTAAAGGCAATAGACACACATCTAAGAACTGTGGATAAACTAATATTTTAATTAATTATTACAACTTCTAACCTGATTTGACTAAAAATAAGTAAAATTAGAACATCATAAGTATAATTTGAATCTCTTGCAGTTCATGCTGGATAATTTAGAATACTTGGAGGAAGAAATTCTGGAGCATTTTATTTTTCCATACATCACAGCTGCCTACCAATCAGAAGATGAATTGATTAGATCCTCTTTCATTGGAATAAAATTAGTATTTGTCATCTTCTTTCAAAGTCTAACAGAAAGGTAAGCATCTCTCTTGATCCAATTTTGAGCTATTAAATCTATAAAACAGTGATTTCCAACAGAAGTTTCTTATCAATAAAATAAAACTTCTCCAGTTAACTTCCATTATCGTGAGATGAATTTGTCCTGTACTATAAAAAAGGTGCCAAACCTTTGTAACCTGACCATCTGCTTATCTTGTATGCTAACCACTTAAAAAGCCAAATTTGTGAAGGAGTATAATGGGATACTATTTTAAACTCTTAGTTAAAATTAGGAAATTTTCTTCCTTATTATGTTACATATTAGAATTTCTCTGAATTTCTTAATTAGTACAAAAATTACCCTAAAACTCTTTGTGATTTGACTGGGCTATATGGAAAAACTATTAAAAATATGTTTGTTTATTCAACAAAGTAAATTTTAAAATGATGAAATGCATGTTTTATAATTTCACATAATTTTTTGAAAATTAACATTTAAAGATAGTATTTATATTAAATAAATGGCATAAATCACTAACAAAATAGTTTATTCTGGTATTTATAATAATTTATGTGAAGATATTTAGGATACTTGCTAAATACAAAGTCAAACTATTTTTAAAATATTAACATTTAATTAACATTACTAATATTAACACTCATCTTTATTTTGATTATTAGTAATTTTAGAATATTAGTAATGTAAGAACAACAGGAAATACAGTAATACTCGTAGTCTGAAGAAAATTTCACTGTAAACACGTGCGGCTGTCAGCGTGTTAACTGTCACAATGTCACACATTAATAGAATATATTCTACTACTCAGCTATATAAAATGAAAGAAAGCACACCATGATTAGTTCACAACTTTAAAAGATATTTCTGCCTTGAGTTCGCATTTTCCTTATGATATAGTATTAATGTGGAAAAACAAGACAGATAGTATGTTGTCCTTTCAAGATTAACCCATAATATATATTTTTTTCATTTCACAGTACAAGAAAGTTATTAAGATGGTTTGATGGCAGTTGTATTTCAACTTCTCCATTTTACTCTCAACGTTTTAAGCAAAATCTGGAATTTTCTTACTACTTGGATCTATCAATACACCCTGGAATCAAGAAAATATCACTCCGAATTTTACAGAAAGTTTTTTGTTTTGTGGACAACATCGAATAAATGTAACTATACGCATAGCTTCAAATAAACATAAATTAGAATTTTACACCTTCGAAAATATGCAGAGGGGAATAAAAGTCTGCATGTTTCATGTCCTAACCTATTTTCAAGTGCACCTATCAAGTAACCTATTTTCAAGTGCACGAAAATATGCAGAGGGGAATTAAAGTCTGCATGTTTCATGTCCTAACCTATTTTCAAGTGCACCTATCAAGTAACCTATTTTCAAGTGCACGAAAATGTGCAGAGGGGAATAAAAGTCTGCATGTTTCATGTCCTAACCTATTTTCAAGTGCACGAAAATATGCAGAGGGGAATAAAAGTCTGCATGTTTCATGCACTTGAAAATAGGTTAAGACTTGCCAGACGTGAATGAGAAGAAATATAAAACGTAAAAATGGAAAATAAAGGTGAGAAGCAAAATTAAAAAAACCACAGTTGGCGAGATTTAACTTTTTCTAGGGATTATTTATTCAATAAAACATAAATATTTTTATTCCCAATTAAATGTATTAAAAAATACATTACCATACATCTTCAAATGGAATTGCATTTCAGCCTGAGAAAAAAAAAAAACTCTAATAAAATGTCTCTGAAATAAAAAGTTTGTATTTAAAACATCATACATTTGAAAGGGTATTTCAGAAAATTAAAAATAGAATTGTGAATTCATGGTCCATTTTTTTCTTTTTTCTTTGAGCGTATTGTCTATGCATAAGTCTCAACTAAATATTCTCCAACTTTGAAGTTTTTGCGATAAAAAAAGTGAAGTTTGGTCAAATATTTCGCATTAAAATGACCATTTATAGTTCTCAAAAAGTAAACTACAATTTTTTAATAGAAATCTATGTGATTTATTATAATTATTTTATAACAGGGAAGTTAAACTCATTATTATTATTATTCAATTAACATTTCATAAAATACACTTGTTGCAATGCGAAGAACTACATATTTAATTTTAATCTTGATGAGTTTTGCAAATAACCACACTTGCCGTATTTTCCAAAAACTGTAATAATATAAAAGGGGTATAACATGGTTCAATAAAATGACAAGATTGTCAATTAACACTGACGTCGTTGTATTATCGAAACAATGTGAAACAGCTTTTTAAACAAAATACATGAATTATTTTGTACAAATAGTTTACAGTTTTACAGAAAATAGTCCAATTTACAGCACAATTTTAAAAAATAATTATTTTGAAACAATTTAAAGCCCAGTCAGAATGAATAAAAATACAATTAAAATAGGGTTGAGATCATTTTGGACAAAAATATTTGGATTTGAAGTGAGTATGAAGCCATAGTTATATTATTAACATTTTATCTATTTTTGGAATTGCCTTGTTATACCATTCCTTATATTTCGTCTTACTATGCCTTTAACAAAAAATAAAAAAATATAATTCAACTCAAAAAATTTAAATCTGAAAAGTATTTTTAATTGTAAAGTTAATCGGTATGTTGAAAATTTAAACTAGTACAAATATGTTTTTATTTTTGAAGTTATAAAAAAAATAGAGCACAGACAATTTTAAGTTTTATTTTAAATAGAGTATGCAATACACATAAAAATTCGTTCCCCTGATAGTTAGAATTGTAAAACAAATAAAAAGAAATACTAAATAATTACAAATACTTTTAAAACTTCTTGCATACAAGACATATGAAAAGGCAATTATGACGAGGCAATTGTTAATAAAATACAAGGGATGAAGTTTTTTTTATTTCCAAAAAATTTGTCCAAAAAAGATAAGATGAGAATTTCAATAATCCTAAACAGCATTGAAATTCTCCTCTTATCATTTCATTTCGTTATATTTTTGTGTATTTTAAAGAGAAGTAAGTATATTCAACACTTCAAAACTACCTTAAATTATTTTGTAGTATTATTATTAGAAGTAATACATGAATTATTCACATTTCTGTATACCAAGTTTTATTTTAAAAAATTACTTCTGCAGTTTACACGAAATTATCTTCTAAAAATCATAGTAATGATTGCATTGTCGATGAAAATTTCATGTCAAGGTGGATTTTAGCTTAGCATTCAAAAACTTTGCAAAAAGAAGTTCTATAATTTTCTAGATTTAAGATGATTTTTACCTTCAGACTAGCTTTATTCAACAATTTTTTCACCACGATTGAAAACCCTAAGACAACCTCGATGTAAGGTTTTTATATAGAAGATTGTTTTTCAAGGTTTTGGATTAGGATAATGTGCGTAAAATAGAGCAGATTGTCGGAGTCACGTTTTAAGGTTAGACGGTTTACATGCTAGCCGCACAAAAAACATTTTTAGGTTTACATAAAATGGTTTTTGCTGAGTAAAAATAAACTTTATCTTGTTATTTGGAGTACATTACATTAATGTACTCCTGGTAGAATTATAATGTATAGATATTTTATATTAATATGAATACAAATTTAAAAAGAATTTTTGTTCCTTACTCGTCATACTTTCCCCTTAATTAAAAATTTATTTTAACAGTCTTTACTGTCTTTTTTGTTTTATTAACCATTAATTCATTTTAAACATTAATTTATGAAATTTGTTATAAAAATCTTTTCTATGTTGCTGAAGTTAAAAGAAAAAAAAAGATTCTATATTTTTCTATTTTAGATTTTTCTATTTTAACCAAGTATGAGCCCGATCAGATTTGCTCATTATTATTTTTTTATTACATAAAGAATGCTAAAAAAAAAAAAAATTAGGCAAAAAATTTATCGGTTTTAGGAAAATAAAAATATTATATTATTTTATTTTAATTAAACACTTTCATCAATATTGTGTTAATTTGAGTGGAGAGGATAAATAAATAGAAACATATACATTTGCTGGAAAATGGTTTAGTTTTACAGGACTCTTAAATAAAAATTAGTCATTAAGCAATTAAATAAAGAACGCCACCATATAAGATCTGAATTATAAATTCTTTCCATGCATTTCAACGACAAAGGAGGAAGGGGTAGGAGTAACCTCTTTTCACCTATTAAAAATAGTGGCGCCACCTACTGCAGTCTAAATAAACTTATTCAAATAAAAGTAAACTTACTAATTTTAAGGATTTTTGTATAATAACTTCATCTATTTTTTTTTTTAATCCATAGTTTCTTTTAATTTTTAAAAATCTTGAATACATTTCAAATATTTTGAAAATTATGACTATAACTTCAAAAGTTACCTTCGTTACTTTAAGCGAACAACAAAATTTGATTTGTATCAATATCAAAATTGATATTATTAAAATTTTATAGAACTTCGAAACATTATTTAAATGCATAAATGAAATTTTCTAGAGTAATATCTTCGAACATTATTATAATTATAAAATAGTTTTGCTTATTCACAAATGATAATTTCTTCAAATTAATTAACTTACTGATATTAATATCACTACTTTAAATTATGAATAAAATATTAAATTTATCACTATTTAAAAACTATGAAGCTTTATTCTTTTTAATAGAATGGAACAAAAAGTTTTAATATTAGTGCATACGAGAAATTCGTAACTTTGGTATTTGAACAGTTTTACCTTAAAAAAATGACCTTGTTTAATTGTCAAACAGAATACTCATTGTCAATAATTAATTTTTTTTAAATGTTTTATTACTTTAATCTGTAATATTAAAAGATACCAATCTTTGACCGCTTCGCTCATCAACTCTTTTTGCTTCGTATTCATTAATCTTTCACCTTAAAAGGTTGATATTTTCAACGAAAAACAAGGATATCGTTTTGTTCATTAAATATAATTATTAGGAAAAGAAAATTTGTGTAAAAGAAATATTTATTAAGTAACATTTTTTAAAAATTCTCTTGAATAAAGATTTTTTTCATAAAAATATTAGAATAGGTTTAGTTTGTAACAGGAGAGGTTACTTTGGGACTCTAGGGTAAATTGGCTTCCAGCGATAGCAAAAATAAAGGTAATTTCCTCATAATTTTTGAAAGTCAGTATAAGGTTGTGAAACGGCTATTATTTCTGTAATAATTTATACTTGTTTAACATCAAAAATTGTCATTTCATTGTGTTTCTCTGCGATGAAGTTTATATTTAGTGTACTTAGTTAACAAACAAATTCTTAGTACAAATGAACGTATTCTATACTCTGTTTTCAACATCTCTGTTTTTTTAGTTTATTCAGTTTAGTTAGTTATAGAAACCAATATATACTTTGTGGTAAATTCTATGTTGTTTTTTAGTATTTCGGATAATTGGAGAATGCTTGCAGATAGTAATGAGAGTGGAGGTTCGCAGATAATAATGAGGTTCGTTGCCTGCTGTAAGCAAAACCGGTAATAATAATTAAAAAAAATTCAAATAATTTGCTTGATACTGATCAAAAAGTTTTATTTAAATATAAGCAATATAATTATTAATAACACGAATAGACACTAATAGTACACATAACACTAATAGAACTCATAACACTAATAGTACACATAACACTAATAGAACTCATAACACTAATATAATTAACAATAATAAATTATAATCGAAATAATAACTACAGAAATAATAATATAGTACTGTAGTGTGAAGGAATATAGGCTAGCTCAAATTAATTGTAAATTATGACAAAAGTGAATAAAAGTACACTTAATAAAGAATTTTAATTAATAACCACAGATACAAACATAAATTACATTTGAACAAAAGTAAAAAGAATTAAAATTTAAGAAAACTCGGGGAAAGGGGAAAAGTCATGTTTAAGGTTTCATATCCGAACTTGAACTGAGTCTCGATGGTGGGGACATAGGTGGCACCACAGGGTATTGGTTTGTTACAGTACTACTTTTAAATATAAAATAAAATGATGCCTTTATTTCGGATTTTTTTTATTTTTCCCTTTAAAAATTTAAAAACAATTACGTATTGAAAATTTTTAGAGATATATTAAGATATTTAAATTTTGTGTCGATATCCGATATTAAAAAGGTTAATTACATGTTAAAATGATGCTTTATTCGATTTTAACGTGATAACATGGAATAAAAAAAGAAAGAAGAAAAAAAAATTATAAAGAGAAAAA